ACTTATCACTTACCGTCAGATGGGCTGTCAACTATTTTGTTATCCAAATTACATAAAAAAATTGGGAGGAACTTGACTAGCTACTTTTATAAGCAGCCGATATTATTATTAGCTCTACACGCAATCTGCTTAAATGCGGAAAAAACAGTACATTTTGCAATTTGTATTACACTTTCAGCTTTAATAACTCTTTCAATTTAAATGTACCTATATTCTTTACATATTTGTATAATGCAAATAAAATATATTTTATCAGGCAGATAGAATATGTTTTATTTGCATTATCCATATATGTGTTAATGGTATTTATTATATTTTATTTAAGTAATGTGTAGGTGTACATTTAGAATATTTTGGACTACATAACGCATGTCAATTTTAATTACTGTTTTTTATTTATTGCAAAATTCAGTTGGTACCTTCACTTGAGAAGAACTGTGTTTTATAAAAAACTTTCGGCTTTTCGCTTTCTTTTCTTTTTTTATTCGTATTATTGTGGATAAGGAGATTGTCGTGACTGTTTTCAACGTATTATATCCTTACAATACATTAAATAAAGTCAGATCACGTAATAGGACATACCTAGAAGAGATGAAACTGTCAGATTTGCTAAATTGCCAATTTTATACAAATATTATATTTGGCTCTTGACTTTGCTCGTATTTTATTTCTAGACATAACTAATATTTTAGTTTATTGCCATATTAAAGATGAAATATTTAATCAGTGGTAATTAATGTTGGTATTAGTAAGTTATTTTTTTATATTGTGGCATTAAAAATACATAGAATCCTCAATTTTCACCCTTCTATCACCAACCCCTGTTTTTAATACCGATTTTAATTTATATAACAAAATAACGTTTGCGGGGTTAGCTAGTAATATATAAGTATTAGTAAGAGAGTTACTGCATTATCAAACATTGGTAACATTGGTTTATAACACTAGTACTGCACTTTAAATCTATACTAATATGTAATTATAAATTCGAAAGTGTGTCTGTTACTAGTTTGTCTGTGTGTCTGTATGGTAGCTCCTAAAAGAATGGACTGATATTGATGCAGTTTTGTTTGAAAGCTGACGTGATCTAGTTTATTCACAGCTAAAATTATTAGAAATTTTATATTTGACTACTACCTTAAAACATATTTTGATATAATCGTTTTAGAGCTTCGTGAAAATAAATAAACATATAGACAGATACTAGCATCATTATGGATACAGTATTAAAAACATTTAGCCTTATGATCTGATGTCACATAGATCATAAGATCATAAGGCTAAATATTTTTAATCTGGTAATTAATGTAATCTAATTAAATCTACTGAATCTTCTAATTATTTGTGTGCTCATGCATATTAAATTTTAACCTATGCGCAAATATTTTATTTTATCTTACCTGTAATTGAGCTAATGGGAAAATTGTTAATGAATAACATTGAATAGTAAACCCTATTAACCTGAAAATAAATAGTGTCAATAGTTTAAAGAACCTTGAGCTTATTAGAACCAGTCTGAACATAAGCTGGTTAAACCTGATAGACCTAGACCTAGGGCAAAGATGTCGCAACCTGTTACTATCTGCCCTCATGTCGGATTGGAAATCTTTCAACTATTTCCTCATTTTCAGCTACTTCAATGTCAATAAAGTACTCCATTGCAATAATTATGGAAATGTTTTGGTTTTGTTTTTTTGTTACTTGTTTAATGTTGACTTATTTTTTTCCAATACTTACTAATTTTGTTACGACCAAAGTCCTCTTTTGTGGCACAATAATATAATTAGTATTTTGTAATATATTTTTGTCACCAAAAACAAAAGAATAGGTACAGAATTAACAAAGAATTGTAGTTGATTTTGTTACTACTATGCTTCTCTAAATCTAGTATACCTATACCAATTACTGACAAAGTTTACGAGATTTAGGCAAACTATTATCCTAAACACCATTATATATTCAAACAATGTACAAAACGCGTTATATACTGGTACTGAAATGCCGTTTGTATAAACATACCGCTAATGGCATTACTACTTCATATGACTACGTTCACTTGTTTTTAACAACTTGTTGTTTTTGATGAGTCCAATTCTTAAAGGATCAATTTAACAAGAATAGAAAGTTGTCTTTATATCTTCATCCATTTTTTATGTATATTGTACAGTTATCAATGTAAGTATATATTGTAAATTTTGACTAAATTAAGTAATTATTAATTCGTAATAATCTAATACATCATATGACTCTAAGTATCGGATTATTACTTGCGAATTTATTTTTTCTTACATGATAGCTTCCCCGCGACTTTGTTCGCATAACCATGATTGAACAGGATGAAAGGCTGTAATATTATTACCTATATAATATGTAGCTTATATATACTTACATCCTAAAATGTGCCAAAATTTCATAATGATTAGTTAAACTGTTAAGACGCAACAAACATACAAATCCACTTTCACATTTAGGTATGCATAATATTTATATATTTATAATTTCACATGCATATAATACTATAAATTAACAATACACACATGGACTCTATTTAAAAAGTGTAGCAATTTACTAGATGACAGATTCCATATTTTACAATAGACAAAAGCATCCGAACGTCTGTCAGTTTGTTAGGACTAAATGTAATTTAAATATACAAAAAATAAAATAAATTTTAATTAATAAGATGTTGCAGTGTTTGATTAGCGCCTTATTAGTTAGGTTTAGATAAACTTATTATGATCAGTAACCGAATAACTTATTGGACATTCCAATTTAATTTTAATGAAGATTATTATTATTATTTGTAAACAAAACTAAGTTCAGTTGATAATTATCTATATTATAAATTCAATAGTAAAGCGTGTGGTATATATTATTTATTTCAATGGCATTTTTTCGCCACTCATGCTTTATAAAACTAATATACATTGAATGACTAGAAAACAACTATCAAACAGCAAAATCCTACTTAAAAATGTATGTTTTAGAACCAGTTTGCTGACTCTATTGCTCAGTGCCCAGTAGATAAAATATCATTACATTCTTACTATCATTTCATACGTTTTGTGAGTCATGTTTTTTGTTTTGTACATAGACGGTTCCGTAGCACAAAATTGGCATCATCAAACATTCATAGAACAATAGGTATATACGGATATATTAATTTATAAAAAGAAGAAAGATGTAATCTTACCGTACTAATATAAACTCTTGCTCCATTCAGTATTACTAATTCCGGAACTTGCGACTTCTGAATGATCACAATATCAGTATATCCAATGTAACATCCAACAGAATTTCGTAGATACTATTCGTTACCTGTATTTTCACATATCTTGGAAAACGGTACATATTTATGTCGTTTTATTATAATTATTATTAAATACGAAAGGAAATCACACAAACCATAATATTGTACATATCTATGGCGATAGACTTCATATAAAGTGGTCTGCGTATGTATCTCTATCTCATCCATTTCAGCCATTCATTTCATGTCGAAACCACTACACAATTAAAAAAAAAATTCTATTGTGTGAAAGGTACATTATTCCGGAATGCCATGGATTATATTATATTACGTGTATATATAAAACGTACACAGTTTCCCGGGCTAAGCCGGAATGGGGCTTAAGTAAATATTATAAAACGTCGTCACGGATAATGTGTCAAACAAGTCGTGAAGTTACTAAGCTATTTTAAAAGGATTATACAAATGTATAGATACATTTTTTTCACACAAACTTTCTCAATTTTTCTATATCCTTGATGATCACTAACGGACCGGCGCGGCGGCCGTATACGGATCTGTATGAATACCTCTAAAATTGTTGCCCACCTTAGGCAAGTAGTAATTTAAGCAATATTGTAAGTTATTTTACTCATATCCTAAATCATCGTGTACCTCGATTTCTTGAAGGTAATAAGAAAAATTGGCGAGGCGCATCACGGGCGAGCAATGCATATTTCTTCACCTGCTTTTACCGTTACAATGACAGCCCCTAAAATATGGCAGCCTCAAAGCCCACTTATCCTTGATAACTTTCTCCAACTATACGAATACAAACAATTTTGTCTCGGAGACCTTAACCTATTTTATCAATCGGACAAGATTTTAATGAATTTAACGACAATATTTATACTGAGGAAAATAACTAAAGATTATGTTCATAGCTATGTGAATTATGACAATACATACTAATATTTAATATTGTAAATATGAAAATGTATCTGTCTGTCTATTTCTTACTTTGTTTTTGGAGATAAAATACTTCGCAATATAACTTATACTTATACAATATTATATTATCTGTGCTTATACTATACTTCGTCATGTCAAATTAAAGTTCAAATGTTTGGTCTTAAAAGTAACAAACAGAAAATAAATACAACACACACACACTTTCGCATTTATTATATTATTTACAAAGCAGTTGCTTCACTCAAGTAACTCAATATTAAACGTCTTTATTTTTTGGTTTGTTAAACCTATTCATTTTTTGAGACTCTGTAGGTACCTATCGTTTACGCTGCAATGCTTCAAAATAATTAAGGTTGCTCTAATCTTTTCTGACACGGACACGTAGCTACTTACTACATTTAATAAAAATCTTGATGTATACGAGAAATTAGCTCTATCTCTATAATTATTGTCTTGAATTGACGTATAATAATAAAATTGTACTAAAAATATTGTTAAATTTATTATATTATAGGGTTTATAAATTCGACCCCAATTAATATTACATTCAAGACAAGCATTTTTCAATGCTCAAATGTAATAAAATATAGGTACTATGACACAAATTTATTTGGGATTGATATTGACATATGTACATAATATGTTACAAGAAATATTATCAACATTATATATAGGTATATAAATTAAAATAATGTGAAAGATAAGACTAAAATACGTCAAGTTTGTCAATTACGATTAGATTATCAGCACGCTCAATGCAACAAAATAATTAATCAGTATTTTATTGTCATCGATACAGGTAGTTACAAATGACGTAAGATGGCAGAAAAACTGAAGAAAAAACCATCATTCTTTAATTTAAAACTTTGGACCAGTCAAAAATCTGTGGATGAGAGTGCAACCAGGACTCCATCAATACAAATAGATACCCCACAACTCAGATCATCTGTGGCGATGCGAAGAGCGTCAAAATCCTTAGACTCCAAGTCAACCAGGTAAGAGAAGTTAACATACTAGAAGTGGCAATAAATCAAAAACAGTTATCGTAACAAATATTAGTTTTGTGAGTATGGATAGATGTTTGTTACTTTTATCGTAATCTTAATTAAACAAAAACATAAAACGCGATTGAAAAGTGTATTAATAGTACGTGAAGATACTGTGAATACAGTTTGGCGAGATAAATATCGAGCGAGTTCCAGTAGTAGCAACAAACGAAGATGTGTGAAGGTAGACGCATATGTATGCCCATAAAAAGAAACACTGGTGGTTGAAACACTGCCGAAAAATTGGGAACTCAGCAAATAAATATAAAATGCGGTAAGATCCCGTGATTTTGACTAACTAATGGTGTTATCATTTTGACGAGTCTATTCATCTACTTCTAGCATCATAGTTCCTAAATGAATACACCGATTATACCGAGTAGATATATTTTTTCATCCGCTACTTTTATGTATGTTATCATTTTTATATACCTATAAATTTTAAAAATACATACACAAATTTTATTACCCGCAACTTTACTTAAATTTAAATAAAAATGTACTAATATATCACACGGGAAAGTATCTCTAGGATAGGTCTCTAGTCTCTAGGATATGGATAGTTTGTTTTAAATGTCATAATTATTCAGATTAAAAATAAATTTAGAATATTCAATTTCAAGAATTTACTTGTTAATCACTTAAAAAATATTTTCAGGGCTTCTAGAAGACAGTGGCTGAATTCATAAATGCTATCAGTTTAATATAACTTCTACGTTAGTGTCCTAAATCTGATAATATAATATAGTGTATGTATGTGTAATTTAATAAATGTTTTAAACATTGTCAAACAGGCCTATCTCATATGGCGGCATTAAAGACTTGATACAATGCCCTCTATGTTTGGAGACGCTCAACAATGCCAAGATGCTGCCTTGCCAACATACATTATGTATGGCCTGTCTCGATGTTTACATTTCTGGTATGAATTATATTAACTATTATTACCATTGTTTATTTTACCTTATTTTTCTAGTTAAGCAAGAGCATCGTAGAATTACAAGATTTACTACATCCTGAAGGTCGTGAATTCAATGCTCTTTAACACCAAAAACATATAAAATTTGTGTGTTACTTTATATTTCTGACTAGATCTCTGGTGAAGCAAACGATGATAGTAAATTATTATAATTACATTTCTTTCAACTGTTTACAGATGCCACGACGATCGAATGTCCAGTATGCAGGACCAAGATTAATATAACCGGCCCCAATTTTATCCAGGAACTGCCATCCAATCTGTACATTGATTCTTTGCTTCAATTGATTGGTATTAAAACAAAAACTCCGCAAAAACCTGAAACACCACCACACTCTCCGGCATATGGCAGTGCTACATATCAAAGTGTGGATTTATTTGCGGGTGGTGTTAGATGCTTCCACTGTCAGACAATGTGCGATAATGCTGATACAATTAATTGTCAACATTGTAAAATGGTAAGTTAAATAGCATAGAATAAACAATATGAATTCCTTTAAAACTTAAGTAAAAAACAAATAACATGAATCGTAACAACGTGGAAAACAAAACTTTTACGACGTTTATGCCTTAGTACCTGCATAGCTACCAGAAGAGTTCTAACATTTTCAAAAATTATATCACCAATGTAGATCATAAATTAAAATTTTCCAGTAAACGTACTTATGTTACATGTTGCAGAACTTTTGCCACGTGTGCTGGTCAAATCACTTAGACGATATGCAGACACAAGTAGGATCCATTCTAAAACAACTAGAGACAGCATCAAATCGCCTGAAGCACAAAATTGAACACTTCAAGGTATGTACTAAATATTTTATATTTGTAACAATACTTGCTACTCGCAGCGGCTTTGCACGGGTGTACATGTATTATATATAAACCATCCTCTAGAATCACACTACCTATTAAAAAAAAATTGCTTCAAAATCCTTTGCGTATTTTTTAAAATTTAAGCTGTCGCTGTATGTCCCTATGTATATAGGAACAGACAGCGACAGTGACTTTGTTTTATACTATGTAATGAAAATGATGATGATTGTAAGTCATGAAAGCACAATGTCATCAATGCCGCCTGAATATTATAATAAGTAAAACGTAACATATGTTTTTCTTTATAAGTTTTTTTTGCCAAGATTGTGTAATTAGATATTGCTTCGTCCCTGTTTAAAAATTATTTACTGTATTATTTTTTAACAAAATTGGTATGGCAAACAGTTGGTGGGCACGTGGTAACCGTTTTCTATAGACATAGATACAACATCATGTACACTATATATATATGTAGACAATATTCCAGAACGTTTACATCAGTGCTTTCCCTATACCTACATATGGCTAATACTAAATGGTACCAAGAAACCAGCGTCATCCATTTGTTTTTGAACCTTAAACGAACTACTACATATATAGTTAAAAAGGCTGAACTAATTGTATATATAAATTCACAAAATAACGAGCTGATATAGTCTTTAGCAATACATAATTACAAGTAGATACTTATCTGTACTGACTGTACACTACTTTTTTCCTTCTTATCAACTGCCAAAATAAAATCCATATTAACGTGATACCTATTTAATGGACTTATAATGTGTTTTAATACCTAATATAATAATACAACTAAATTTATTCCGTAGGATCGTTGTGAACATATAACAACACAGATCGAAACAACAGCTGACGAGAAAATAAATGCCATAATAGAATCTAAAGGAAAACTAGTTAAAGAACTTACAGAGCTACAGAAATCAGGTGATCTCTCTGCATTAGCTCTAAATACCTCATTGGACGAAGCTAAAACTGTAGCGACGCAAGTTATAGCATCTAAAGAAACTGGGAACGATATTAACAAGGTAGGTTGGACAGTTTATGTCTTAATATTCTTTATTTTGTGTGTCATTCCTTATTGTTTATACTCACATAATATCTACTGTAGACTATATATATTCAATTTGATAATAAATTTTTTACTTTTGTATTTACTCTCAAAAACGATTTTAGTCAATCTAACGCATATTATAGCAGTCAATTTTGTACGCTATTAAAACTTATAAATTAGGAATTGGGTTAAAATTTTAATCACGTTTGCATTAAAAAGTTACCTATTTATATGAATATACAAACGTTAATAAAAGGTTAAGTAAGAGTACCGAATACTACCGAGTGATAAATCAATTACAGTATTATGTATCTATTTTTGTTTGGAACCAATTATATGGAAGCACGTAGTTTACAAATTCACGAGTGCAAAACGTCGAAATTACAATGATAACCGATCGGAAACGATTTCAAGAGTAGGTAACATGATATATATTTAATTTTAATCAATTAATCATAATTGCCTCACCTTTTTCCCATTATTACGCATCGCCGCATTATGTCCACTTCTTCCACTGATCTTTATCGACCGTTATGTCTCCTTTATGTAACAAAGTCCATTCACGTTTTCTTTGGATATGCCAATTGCAAATTGCATTCGTAAATTCCAAACTATTTAATTTTTTTATAATAAACCTTAAGGCTAAAAGCCATTATTTACATTAACGTCAACTCCAGTTGAAAATCCCAGAATCCATACGATATTAGCAACTTGTGTTCACAAGCAAACTGCAAACCTCTGCAAACTTCTCTTATTTGATTTATCCGTATTACCCTACACTCTTATAGATCCTTCTTCTTTACGTCGCTTTAATCACGCGACATTTTGTTTAATTTATATAATTTATCACATTTTAAGTTCGGACTTCTAACTGTGGTACAATGCTCGTGTCACACATATAACCATTAAAAATAAAAAAAATACTTATAGAAATTACTTTAGACTACCTGATACTCGTGACTTCGTCTATATTAAAAAATATATATTTTTGTCCTTGTGGTACAATCTATCTGCACGTCATGTTTTAGTCGTAAAAAGTAACAAATAGACGGAAACTTTCTTATTAATAAGTTGAATTATAAAACTTCAAAAATCGAATTTAAATATGTGGATGGTATGTACTTAGTATCGGCGTAATATGAATGTTTGCATTTTCTTATCAGCTTATTAAATCACAATAATCGAATTATTATAAAGACTGATGACTGATGCTAGATAAGGATATAATAATTGATATGAAGTTATTTGTATGTAGATAATAATAATATTAGTATTTACGTCAACTTATTACACAAGTGTTAGTCCAAAAAATATAGTACTTTTTTACACAGACAGTGTATATTATTTTAGTCTATTGTTTTTTTTTACAAATATTTTTCAGCACTAACTCAAATATGAAGAAAAATTCAATTTCTCAACTTGAATAAAAATCCTCATCCCATTATTAATTGAGTTTAATCATTTAATTAATAATGGGATCTCAATCCTTTCTTCATATAATTTTCTTGGTAGTACTTAGTCTAATTTCATTAATTATTTATTTCAATCGATTACTAAGTTATAATGTCCTTATGTATTTATAACATTGAATTTAATGAATGTGTGAAGTTACACAAATTGTGGTATTGGTTTTTTTTATACCACGAACGTGGCAAACAAGTATGATGATAAACTGTTACCGTAGCCTAAGAATGTCCAAACATCAGGAATCTCACGTGCGCGTGGCCGCATGAGAATGAATGAAGTATTTATAAACGTTTTATATACTCTACCCACTTATGTACTATACTGTTATATTTCCTCAGGTAACAACATTTATGAATTTACATCAAAATGCATTACAAATCCTCGTGGATGTATCAAAATGGGATACGGAGTACTTCGTATTTGATAAAGAAAATTTTAGGATAGAAAAAGATAATGAGTCGCCGTTGGACGCCGAATCTGATGACCCTGTTCAAACTTGTTTCAAACAGAACGACCCTCTCGAAAGTGAAAATAGTTTAACGACGCATTATAGGTAAATAAATATTATGTACATTACAAATACAGAATATTCGACTACAGCCAAACTCACAAAAACGAACTCATTTTTCGGAAAACAAACTAGAACCGAATTATTCTCATCAGTTACCCCATCTTGCCTGCAGAGCCCTTTTATATAAAATAAATAAATAAAAACAAAACAGTCAATAATATTTAAAGAACACAATGCCTACTTTTTTATAGATTAGTTTAAGCATCAATCACAATAACACCTCACCAGCTCGTTATTTAACAAACCACAGTCACGTGTTAAGCCAGAAGAAAATGTGATAAACAACTTGCAATAAAACACTTATTTTGCATTTTTTTCGACACTGTGCACTTGTAAACCACTAAACACACGGCGACTGATAAGTCTCATGGTGTCGCGTCGCCCGATGATTGAAAGAGCGTGATTGATCAATTTGAACTGTAAATTTTGGTGGGTACCCCGTCTTACCTCCATCTCCCCTATATATTAAAGAAGTTAAAAAGTTTTGAGTACTAGAAGCTTAATATAGGTTCAAATGGACAGTGTGCATAAATGACTTAACTTAGTCTCTCAGAATATCACAAATAACTCGTATCTAAAGGATTAGCTTCTGCTTTAGTTCAATACTATTTTTGTCAAGTTGAAGTCCAATTTAAATAAAATTAAATAAGATCTTAATTTGTTATATTTAACAATTATTCAGTCCAGGGTATACTTATTGGAATGTAGAGACTTTCCAATGATAAGTACCAAAATGTGTTGTGTGTCGGCACTAATAACCAATGCCCGGTAGTACAACAATTCGTGACATTGGAAAAAGAAAGAACGGAAACTGTTTAGAAATTACATCAGTATGTAATTTTTATTATACCCACATAGATATGTATATATGCTATTTACAGAATAGTCTCTGTAACTAGCAATAAATACACACTCAGGTTGAGATTCTTATTGATGTTGATGATGAACCTAAGTGCGTGTAATTAATTATGTGAGATATATTATTTTAGAAGTCGATATAATTTTTAGATGCCGTAACTCTGTGCCTCATTACGTATGGCGCAAAACAACTCGTCCATGTGGCGTCGGTATAGGACCATGGAACGGTCATCTATACGTCTGTGATGTGGACACCCATAGCGTCCTAGTCGTGGAACGATCACAAGCCAAGGTCGTCATGAGACTAGTATACAGCGAGATGCTCTGTCCTGTGCAAATCGCATTCTTGAAAAGTTTAGGAGAAATATATATTACAGGTATGTCTTTTTTTATAATTACTTTTGCTTTCCCTGTGGAAAGTAAAGGAAGTCTATACTGAAGTACATGCCCTTTCTTTGCGTTTTGTTTTAAATTCTATTTATTTCTTCTTTTCCTTACTTGCTCCGCTAAGAGTGTTAAGATATGTATGTCTGGATGTACCTAATGAATAAGATTTTTTTATAAATTACAAAAACAAAGTGATACAGTTACATTTGGTTGCAAATAACATGCTTTCCGTGGTTATGCTTATACAATAGCTGTAAGCTATTAGCTTATAGCATAAAGAAGACCCTTTACAGAAGGATAAATAAGAATGTTTATTTCCTTCGTTACTATTTCTATCTTACAACAGAGAACCATTGGCAGTAGAATGAAGTAATTTTTTGTTATCAATAATGTCATATGAAATATTTTCATAAATCTTAACTTTTTTAACATACATCTTTTAATGTGATTTTTACATTGCCGTCCTCGGTGGTCTAACTATTTAGCACACCATGTTAGGAGTACTTCCGATAGTCGAGGGTTCGATTTCTCGCACGGTACAAACATTTGTATTCATGAATATTATTGTTTGTATCAGTTTATGTGTTTTCTGTGTATATTATGTATGTATTTACAAAAAAAATGTCTGTGTATTTATATCAGTTGTCACATATATTATGATTATTATTAATGTACAGATAAATGGAAGCACTGCGTGCACGTATTCTCCAAGGACGGCGAATACTTGAGGTCTCTCGGGCAGAAAGGCAGCCGTGATGGACTGTTCAGGTCTCCAGAGGGAATTGCCACAGACAACGTTAACCTACATATTTATGTAGTCGATACTGGCAACGACAGAGTGCAGGTATGTTTCGATTTATACTGGTAAACAGCGTATTTGAAAGTAGTATAAACAATGTATAAAAATAGCATATATATGGAAATAAAATATATTTTGTTTAAAAATGATGATAACCAAGTTTAATGCAGTTTTTTCTGTGTGCATAAAGCAATAAGAGTTACGTATGCTACAATTACTGTTCGATAGTCAAAGGACACAAGTGAAAGATAGATAAAACTTTGGAGTAGGTTCATGTTATATTTAAATATATTTCGAGTTGTGTTTTAGGTTCCACTGAAACACATTTGTATAATATACCCACAAAAATTATAAATATAACTTGAAACAGTGCTGGTTGAAAATGTTATAATTTCCAGATTATACAACCTGATGGAAAATTTGTGGATCAAATCGGCGTATCCACAAAGCAACAGGTCAGCGCCATTGCAGCCTGGGAGGTCATCACGGTGATGTCTACGGAGTTCAATGCTCCCACAAGTATAGCAGTCACAAATGACCGAATCATCATTCTTGACAGCGGTAACCGCCGTGTTAAGATTTACAACAAACAGGATAAAAGCAAAATACACGAGTTCGGCTCTATTGGACAGAGAAAAGGCCAGTTTAGGCAAGCAGAAGTACTAGCTGTTGATCCTATGGGTTTCATCCTCGTTGGAGACTCTGGAAATTGTAGAGTCCAAGTTTTCAAACCTAATGGAACGGTGGTCAGAGTTTTCGGAGGGTACGGAACTGAGCTTGGAAAGTTTGGCTGGATTTCTGGCATTCATGTCACTAAACAATTAGATGTTATAGTTAGTGACTCTAAAAACCGTAACGTGAACTTTTTCTAAATAAAACGTAAAATATGTAACAATAAAATTTATTTGATTGAAACAAATTCAAAATATATTTAGTTACAAATTAAAATTACACCTTACTGATATTACCGATATAGTACAATGATATTTAATATGCAAAATAAACTTTATAAAATAATTGATGGGTTTCATTTTACAGCAAACAATAATATCACATGTCTTTTCGAGATTAATTTCATGACGATTTTTTAAGAGATTCAAAATTATACAATTTAATTATATTTTTAACTTGTATAATTTAGGCCTTATAAAACCAAAAATAAACTAATTATATAAATTATAAGACATACCATCAAAATTGCTATACTATATTATTTTAATTGTTAATACAATTTACTAATTGGACGTCACAACTACAATTCCGATTTGATGTCAAATAGCAACACATTCATTATAGATTTTCACTTAGAATTAATTAAAATATTCATACAAATGTATGTAAAGTGCATAATTGTTCACTAATTAAAATCTTGTAGGAAAAATTGTATTATTAGGTAGGTTCATATAATTTATTCAGCGTATATTATTATATTTTCAAAGGACTATATAACGTGGAACGTCCATAAATATCTCTTGTCTGGTTTACAACACCAAATACTAAATATATGGCTGATATCAGTCTCGAAAAGGTGGTTACGAGTTAATAACTATACAATTATTTACAACATCGAAACTGATTTTCTAATTTACTTCTATAATTAAACATACACTTATTGAGAATATATCGACGTAAAATCGTACTTAAAGCCATTGTTATATGAAAATAAGATCTTGTGGCCGATCACAGAATCTTCAACAATCTTACATTTGTTCGTTTGATTACTCTGTACTACTGTTATATGTACCAATTCGTACCAAATTCAATACATTAATATGAAATTGATTATTGTAATAAAATAGTGTATAATAATAAATTATTAACTATATTTTTGGTATAGTTTATAATAGTTCAGTGTCTTATTAATAAAATATAAAACTTACAAATCAATTTTAAATACATATTAGTGTTTAGTCACTTTCTTTCATTAAATAAATTGCTTGAAAGAAATGGACAAAACAGTTTAAAAGCCAAAATAGATTTATTAGTTTTTACATCATTACTATGAAAAACATGAGATTCTAATTTTATTATTGCTTATTATATTAATGTAGTGATAATAGTAACACAATTATTGCTTGCTGTCAGTTCATAGTAATCCGATGTACATTATAATTTGTTTTGATAAGAACTTAAGTAAATTCATGCATATAGTTATAGCTTCCAAACAATTGACTAGATACTGTTCTATCAATGCTGCCGCTGTAATGAAGAGAATTATGCAATTTGATTGTCTCAAACCATAATGGGTGTTGTAAATAGAATTATTAATAATTTATTGCTTATTTACACTGGAGAAAGTAACCAGACATGTTTCAAAAATAATATTATTACTAAATAAATCATAATCAGTCATCGTTTGTGACAAAAATAATAAAATATTGCTAATTACGGTTTAGCAGATTTTTACCGTAAAATATAGCTACTCTTGCTGGGTCTGAAGGTGCCACCAGAGGGTTTTATAAACCATTATTTATGCAAATTGTAACAGGATTTGTAACACATAACCCGCTGGTGAAATCACATTGGCCTTTTCATATTAAACCATCAGCGAAAGGTATAAGGTATAAAGGTATAAATTAAATCTTTTTATTTATTTCTTTAATCGGAATGGGAAACTAGCCTGCAGCTGTCAGACCATTATATACATTAATAGTACTACAGACATCACGTTATGTCATGCCCGTAACATCACTCATGCATTGTCAATCTAGATTTCAAGTTATTTTTTAACCGCCTTGTAATCGGGTAAGGTCTGTACACTACATTTAGTTCACATTTAAAACATAGCACCTGTAATTAATATTACTTTCTCTTTGTGATTTCGATTTTGTAACATTTATAAATAGACAATTTATGGACTTCATAATAATAGAATAATCCAATAAAATAAGAGATTACAAAAATAATAAATTTCAGTTTTTTTAAATATTTACAAGCATTGTGTTTAGTACAGTAGGTACTGGAAGTATAAGTTGACCTAAACAGTCACTATGATCAGAACCCAATCTCTGATACTGTATTGAATATTGATTGTAACCTTTTATTGTTAACTTATTAATTAATATTACAATCGAATAGTAAAGTTAATTGAAAAATATTTACTTATCAACTTAAAGAACTAAATTTGCTGTTTATCTACAACAGCAAATTTAGTACAAAGCAAAACCATATCGCGAGTACAGGAGCCCTGTTGTATTGATAGTGGATATATTTATAATATAACATAATACATAATATATATAACATACTTCCATAGAGTCCAATATACGCAACTCGTGAGCCGCAAATCGTCAACTTATACTTGTTGCCACAGACGTAGATAGAAATAGATGCAAGTGTTACCTCTACATGAGATCTGCTATACATTATCAACCATACGTCCCCCTTTAATACTCCCCCGCCGAGCAAAGACATCCCCGTATTTCAAACAAATATTTCCATTCGTTGAGTGTCAATATAAGTACATTATTCCTATTTCAAAAGGTTAGAGGTAGATTATACTGTCAGTGTTACATCGGTACCAGACGTTGATGCGCCGCGAGGTGCTTCGCCATACTGCCAGAAGCATTTTTTTAAATTTTGATATGGTAAAGTGTATTTTACCTATTTTATTCGCTTTTCTCGTCACCCCACTTCTGTGACATGAAAAATTGGATGTGTTGCTGCATCGATTTAAATCTATTCCTGTACTTGTAGCACTGTATAAAGTACAATTTGAAAAAATTATAAACTAAACATAATTATGTATACCTATAATGGCAAGTGAGGTATTATTAGTACTAATTTAAGACGAACGGCATGGTTGACATCTACTCACAGAGTGACTTTCTCCTAGGACTACAGAGTCTGATTCAATTGGTGGTCCTTCACTGTTGTCATGTTGTCTCTGAAAAGATATACATATGTGTTATACATTAATAATTCTGCAGAGACACGCAAATAAAACAGCAGTAAAATAAACATATTAACACTTATGTATAAGACAAGAATTTTAAAATTAGGAATCAGTTATATTTCATAAACTGTTATGTACATCATGGTCAGGGGTCATATGTGAACCTTTAGCCACAACCTCCATGACTTGGTTTCACCTGGAAATTATCATGATAAATTCCTACTGAATTCACCACAATGGGCTAATAGACCTGATTTCATCCTAATCATATTATCCTCCACTGGTGCATCACATTTGCACACCAGCATTCTTATTATTAACAATCAGTAAGCTATTATTACTTGCACAGAATTTAGATTCCATTTACACTGATTGAAAATGTTACTTTTTACCAACATTTTTTGATTTGGCTCTGACCTGAGTGTATTTAGTGTTGCAGATAATATTTGAAGCTTGTTTTCATAACTACCATACAACATAAAACTAAACCATTGTGATATTATTTAGCACAGTTACAAGAAAAAAGACAAGTTAGGTAGGATCTAATTTCCTATTAGAACACGGTAAGTAATTTGTTCCCAATATTATTAAACCTAATAACTTTAAATGACCCTTAATTCTAAAAAACTTGCATACAGCAATACAGCAATAAAGTATTAAAAAAACATCCATTATTGTCTGTAGTTTCAAGATATTGGCCGTCATTGTATTTTATTATCAACATTCCATAAAAAAATTGCATCTTTTGGTGATTGGTGGAATTTTTATTCCTAATAAATATGGGGTGAACCTAACAATTTGCCCACAACACTCTAAGCAAATTTAAATTCCAAATTAGTAGGGGTTGCTGCTATCACTATTATTCTTACTGAGTTTGTTAAAAATGTATTCCAATCCAAACAAGACAAAACACACATGGCTGAGATTAAAACAAAGGCTCATAATGATATAAAGATAGCACTTTTGATTTTTCTATCTAATTTCTTTTAAAGGCAGTAGTCATCTTAGTTATTCTATTTTCATAATAATTTGTTCATTACACAAAGTAGAGAAGGTAGAAGTAGGTTGTACATAATAATGACTGTTGAATCCATTGCTACTATATAGAGCATGACCTAGTCTGGTTTACAGACGGGTCCAAAATAGGAGATGATGTAGGATGTGGAATATGTGGTGTAAAACCCAAAATCTGCAACTATATAGGCTTAGGAAAATACGCCTCAATCTTTCAGGCAGAGACTTACGCCTTAATTAGATGTCTGGAAGTAATCCTAAGCCTCAACTACATCAATCAGAACATATACATTTATTCGGACAGTCAAGCTGCTCTACTAGCACTTAACTCGTACGAAATCCGTTCTAAACTTATTAGAAACTGTATCCTGCTACTAAATGAAGTAGGAAGCAGAAATAATATTATACTGAGATGGGTCCCCGGGCATTCAAATATTGAAGACAATGAGAATGCCGACCATCTGGCAAAGTTAGGGGCAAAAACCGTCCAACTGGGCCCCGAACCCTTCTGTGGTGTGCCTCGTTGCCTAAAACTGGGACATCTCAAATTAATAACCAAACGAGAAGCACTGAATCACTGGCAAGAAATGCCAGGATTAATACATTCAAAAGACCTTATATCGGGCTTCTCGACCAAATACTCCAATAGATTACTGCAATTGAGTAAAAACAACATATGCATGATGACTAGGGCCCTCACAGGACACTGCAAATTGAACAAGCATATGGCTAAGCTAGGCCTATGCACGACAAGTATCTGCAGATTCTGCCAAACTGAAGAGGAAACGCCGCTTCACATCCTATGTGGTTGTAGCCCACTCATGCATAAACGAAATATCTCCTTTGGAAAGTTTACACTCTTTCCCGAGGAGATAAAAACGATCGCTCCTAAGAATATCCTTCAATTCTTGTCCCTGACGGGTCTAGGTAGCGAACTCTGAAAAGGGCGAGCACAATAGATCTATGTAGGTCGCAGTGCTACAGGTGCTACACATCTGACAATAGCCCAAACAACCCAATAAAAAAAAAAAAAATACTGTATACGAGACATTGCCAGGTGCCATTCACATGGTTACCCTAGAAACCAATACCTGAAACTGATTTGTTATGATTGGCTAAATGACCTGACCTCATGTTCAAATTGTCACACTGGTACCCTTAGCACAGGAAATTACAATTATCCATTATAATTCTTTAATAAAAAATGTTGATAAATTACCTTTAATTCTGTAGCCAAACTACGGAATGTGTCTTCAACATTGGTATTGTCTTTAGCTGATGTCTCCATTACAAACATTATCTCTGGAACATAGCGGCAGAAAGATTTTGGTTCATCCGGCTCCACTTCTCTTTGTTCTGTTAGGTCACACTTGTTGCCAATCAATGAAACAATAACATTGGAGGATGTATACCTTCTAACCTCTTCTATCCATTTTTGAAGTGATAGAAATGTTGATCTTTTTGTTATGTCATACACTAAAACATAAAATGTACACATTGAACCACTGAAACAATTCATGACAATGATTAATTTATCATCAATAATTTTTTTAACTGTTATTTAAATATTAACGTTACAAATATTCTAACAAACAGCTTTGAAGTTTAGCCAAACAAGGATTTCCTCTATGGATACACATTTTTCAATTTATATCTTGAATCTACATGTAATTAAATTTTTTTTTTTAATAGATAGCACCTAAAAATGTTTACTTAATCTGCATAATTTAACACCATTGTAATTTTTTGTAACAAGCTGGACAGATATGGGCCTTTCTCCACTAACAGGAAAATCATGGTCCAAGCATTTTTTTTTACTTTGCCTATATTAATGCATAGTTTTATTTATTAAAACACATAATATATAACCTGTTATTTAAGGAGCCAAGCTTAATCAATATTTAGAATCATAATTATTTCATAAAATTGGTCTGAAAGTCACTAAAAACAGTCCTCTGTTATGTCCTAATTCCGGATCGAGTATGATTGGGCTCGGTTTTTATTAGTTGTTATTAAAAATGTAAAATCTTATAAGTCCATGAACATAAAGAATATTGAATGCATGTGAACAAAAAACAATTATAATTTTAGAGATTTTTTTTTACTAAAAGGTAGTGTTCGAATTTTTCCGATACATTTGTGAACAGTCCACTGTCACAATTTGAATATCGCGCCACAAAAATATTAAACACTAGTATGGGTATATTTCGCGTGAAATGGAACGTTAACAGTGTGAAGTTTACTCGGTCGTCATGCTGAACAAGTCTCCAAGATTTTGCGCAGTGACAACTTCGCGTCTGTGTGGGAGCCACGTCTCTGTAATGTTGAGTGAACATTCCTCTGGTAAGTCTATTTTACAGTGTTTTATGTGTTATAATTATATTTATTTAATAAAAAAATTGCTCAGAGTGATATAGACCTGTTTCTGTGTTGTGAAGTAATATTTAAACTGATACGTGGTATGACATTTTTACGTAAAAATAACAGTCCTCTGTACAACAGTCCTCTGGAAATTTATAATACAGAGGACTGTTTAATGGGACAGAGGACTGTTTTATTTGACGTCCGTGTAGTTTATTAATAGTCTTTATAGTCTGCACTAAACTACTCACTCCAGGAGGTTATATTGAGACATTAGTATAGAGGCTATTCAACGAAGATGTTCCGCAATTAACTTGTTCACGATTGACGATAAAGCCATCCAAGAATTGACAGACGACATTCAAAATGAAACAGTTAATTTAAAAAACTTTAATGGCTCTATAAAAATACATCAAGTTAAGGCTGAAATATTAAGAAGTCCTCTGGAATTAGCTCCGCAATTAACTTGTTCACGATTGACGATAAAGCCATCCAAGAATTGACAGACGACATTCAAAATGAAACCGTTAATTTGAAAAACTTTAATGGCTCTATAAAAATACAAAGTTAAGGCTGAAATATTAAGAAGTTTAAGTTGCACTTGTGAAGTTGACGAGTGCCAGCATTTCAATTTAGGAGTGTTAGAGTACAAAAACAAGACAAAACTTAACGTAGATGATATTTACACAGACTCTGAAAGTGAAAACATGGACAACTCACAGGATTCCACAATGGAGACCCACAACGACGTTGTACTGGCTGGACCTAGTTCAATCAACCAACAGAATTACACTATCACATCTTGATTGCATGATTGGTGATTACATCGTGGTTAAATTTCTAGTAAGAAACACTGAATATGCTGATACATAGACACGGAAGAAGGCGAACTAACAGTAACCTTCTTAAAAATTTGTGATGCTAAAGGACACACATTCAGAGGCGATGAAAACGAAAATTTCTATATGTGATACAGTATTAAATAAAGAAGAAAATTTATTTGATTGCAATTAATAATTAATATTGTGTTTTTTTTTCAAATAAACATTGATATAAACTGTCCTCGGGGTGGAAAAAACAGTACTCTGGGTGGCAAAACAGTCCTCTGCCACATTTTTTTACAAAGTTGCCTATAATTCGAAAAATAAGGGAAAATTACAATGGTTTCTTGTTCATATGCATTTATATTATGACTATCTATCGATTTAACATATTATATTTTTAATTTTGTTGAAAAATAGGTTGGGACAAATTTCAATAGACAAGTTTCCAGTTAGTAGAGAAAGGCCCATATAGTTTTATTAACTGAATGTAGTAAGTACATGATTTCACACAATTTTTGTTGCATGTTTAAATTAATTACATTTACATATAATACCTACCTACTATTACTCCATTAGCAGAACGATAATAGCTCTGTGTGATTGTCCTGAATCTTTCTTGTCCTGCAGTATCCCATATCTGAAGCTAAATTAATTATATTATTGGGATATACATTAATTAGATATTAGATAGATATATTATTAAATAGATATTTAAACAATAAGCTTTAGCAAAAATAAAACAAATGTATTTAAGAAAGTATTAGATAGTGTGTAGATGCTTGTTTACGACCATTGTGATATAAAAATAAATAAGTATTATTTAATTTTGTTTACACCATGTAAATATTATAACTGATAAGTACTTACTTATAAAAATTACACAAATCATCCAGTCAATGTTTTTTAAATATATTATGTTATTCCTTGGTTGCATTTAGTATTATTAAATATTAAATGCGTTTCCAAATAATAAAAATGAATCAATAATCAATAAATAGTTATAAAATGATGTTATTCGTCATTAATACTCGTAACTGATGGGCGGATACCACTAAAACTAGAGTTACACGACGAGCATCAGATGTAGGTGTAATAGATGTTTATTTTGATTCGATAGAAAACAATAGTAATAAACATTACAGTAATGTAACTACTGACCTTGACTTTCTTCCCGTCTACTATTAACGTTTTCATAGAAAAATCTACGCCTATTGTATTTCCGTGACTTTCTATAAAATTCCCAGACTTCAAACGTTGAACAATGCATGTTTTTCCTGTTCCGCAATCACCAATTAATACTATTTTGAATAGATAATCAAACTGTTCGTCTGGAATGCTCATAAGTGTGTTAGGATTGCGGTTGCTCATTTTCAAAAATAATTATACTATAATTAATTTATGAAATTATTGAAAATTTCTGTTTACAACTACATATATGTGAAATGAAATTTGACAATGATTTGTCAAGTTGACATTTCCGTGTCTTATAACATTGGCATTTTATAGAATTTGTGTCTGGCAAGGAAATTATAACTGGCTGCCATAGCTAATTTGTATGTTTTCATTACAACACGATGGTGTTAGGAAGTATTAAGTAAACTAATATACGGGAGCGCCGCCGCCGCGCCGCCGCGAAGAATCTATGTACTTATATTTTTTATATCAATACTCCAAACTTTAACAGAAGCACCTTAGGACTGGATAGCGCTGTATGAATATAAAATCATATGAATATGGCACAGACCTTAAGTTAGGTTTAGTTGTAAATATTTTTCTGTTTTTATATACACATAGGTGTTTTTGTTTCTATTTTTTATAATGATTTTAAGAATATACTTCGGGGGTTCTGGCAATATTTTACAGGCAATCTTTTATCCAGAGATGTAAAACGTAATAAAAAAAAAAATTTATGTTGTCAAATTCAAATTGTCAAATTTTACTCTATTGAACTTGTAAAGTTATCAATTTAAATTTTAATATAATGTTATTTATAATATACTACATTTTGCATTCAATTCAACTTCTTTATTAGTTTTCAGTATATATAGGAAGGAAGGAAAATAATATATTGGAAAGATGTGTCGACCAAAACTTATGTATTTATTACTTATTGTCTTATTCTTCACCTGTTTCTGTGAAGGAATAGAGGTATTTATCTTATTCTTATATTTGTACTGATAACAATATTGAAAAATATTACAATATTTGTATTTGTAATAATTGCAGATACCGGAACAGTTTCAAAAATCGAACCACACTAATAATTGGGCGGTATTGGTGGACACATCAAGATTTTGGTTTAATTACCGGCATGTAGCTAATGTATTATCTATTTATCGTAGTGTTAAAAGGCTAGGAATACCAGACAGTCAGATTATTCTTATGATATCTGATGATATGGCCTGCAATCCACGAAATCCTCGCCCAGCAACTATATTTAATAATGCACATGAACAAATCAATGTTTATGGAGATGATGTTGAGGTGGACTACAGAGGGTATGAAGTAAGTATTGATTTGATTTTTTCTATAATGTAACTTATATGTATGTACTCAGTAAAATGTAATTTTAAATATCTTAAAGGAATGTACCTAATTTGTGACTCATATAATAATAAAGTAATTATTATCTAGAATTATATTAGTAAAAAGGAAGACATTTCACTAAGACATTACTAAGTATTTTCTTAGTTTAGAAACTCATTTTTAATATGTATTTGTTGTTAATTAAAACCCATTTATTCCATAGTAGTAAGTTACTATTTACTTATGTATCATATTTCAGGTTTCAGTAGAAAACTTCATTCGTTTACTAACTGGAAGAGTTCCACCAGACACACCTCGCTCGAAACGGCTGCTTACCGATGAAGGCAGTAATATATTAATTTACCTTACTGGACATGGTGGAGATGGTTTCCTTAAATTCCAGGACTCAGAAGAAGTGACTAGTCAAGAATTAGCTGATGCTCTTGAGCAGATGTGGCAAAAGCAAAGGTAATAATTTATAGAAACGTAAAAGACATATCATATATAATTATAAATTGTGTGTTATTCACACAGTAGCATTATTTAGAAAAGAAAAATATACAAAACAACAAATGTACTATTGCAATTATTAAACCAGGCAGTTAGATACATTGCCTATTGTAGTGAATATCAACATTATTATTCATACCTTTTTGTGATTACAGTTTTATTATTAGTAGAACTTAAAAGTAACTGTATTAATTGATACAACTTAAATATTGATTTATTTTGCTATAATTAATTTGAGCAGTAATAGAAAAGTCTTTTAAAGGTATTTACCATTATTTTTATTAATTATTTATTTTTCAGATATAATGAAATATTTTTCATAATTGATACATGTCAAGCTTCTTCTATGTATGAAAAATTTTACTCACCAAATATATTGGCCACAGCCAGCAGTTTAGTGGGTGAGGACTCACTTTCTGTAAGTTACAATGTATTTACTTTCTTCGCTTTAAAAATATACTTGAGGGTAATGTGTATATCAAACTAAAATAATGTTTATGAAAAATTAATGATGTCCCACATATTTCAATACCAGTAAATAATGAATGGGTAACTGACCATTGCTATCTGTTTAATAGTTCTAAAAAATATTTACTACACTCATTATGTTAAGTTACCCAGTTTTATGAATACTACACACTAATACATTAGGTATTTGTTTACTTACAATAGCTTTTCCATAATGACTGACTTGTAAACAAATGAAATATTATATAGGTTGCATAATCTTACAAATACAAGTAATATTGAATATTTTCAGCATCATGTGGATTCTGCAATTGGTGTGTACATTATTGATAGATATACATATTATGTATTGGAATTTCTCGAAAATGTACACCCGACCAGCAAGAGGACTATGTCAGAATTTGTAAGTGTCTGTTCATTTTCAAATATATTATTGCAAATATTTCTATCAAAAGTGTACTACTTGAAAATTAAAATTATCATACAATCTTATCGATTTATCTATATGTATGGTATTCTATTAGAGCTCATTCTCCTTGACTTTATTTCCATTCTGAATGTAGTGGTAGTAGGTATTGTTTTTAATTGATTTAATGAAATTTGTATAAATTGTAGTATACCAAAAATGTTACTTTTTACTGGTTACTCGTGTTTGAAATAGTAACGATAATAATATAATTTTTTAATAATATAAAACAATGTCCTATTATTTTACTATGAATTGCAGAGTCTGGCTTAGTGGTATATAAGTTCCACGTTGTAGGAAAATGTGTTGTACTTTCGTATAAAACGCTTGTATGACCTTGTAATATATTTAAATATGTGAAAAAGATTCACGCTTCTTTTCTCATTAAAACGGGTTTAAACTTATTAAGGAATAACTATGTTATGAGCTATTATATAATTTTAAACAAAATATTAATACATATTGGAAAATTCTTGGAAACGGAGAATTCTTACGTTATATGGGAGAATACAGGTGTTATACAAGAGACATAAATCGCGACGTATACCACTACAGCACGATTTTGTAAGTTGAAATCTAGCCGACATGAAAATTAAAACTTTGTATCAATTTATATTTCTGACTAACTCTAGTGAAGGAACCACCAATATCAAACCAAAAATTAATCCAAGAGATGGCCGATATAATAGAACGAGCTAAATTGTCACATGTCGAGAGTTACGTTCAGAACGACTTCGACAATTGACAATGCAGAGACATTGCCAATTGTCGAAGTCGTTCTACCGACTACGAAGACTACCCCTTTGAGTATATTAGTCGTAACGGTATCTTGGTGTTTGTTTGACTTGGAATTGTTATCTTTATAGCTGGCTGTTTGCCCAAAGAGTGCATGTTTATCAACAGTTGGAGTTCGTCGGGATCTATTTAAGAGGAATCCTGACAAGGTGCCTATTACTGATTTCTTTGGGTCAGTGCGGCCAGTTATAATTACCACTGAGCCTATTAACATATTGGAAATACCAAAGAGAAAGAAGACTGTCACGTAAGTCATTCCAATATTTAGTTGATCAATACTCAAGAAATAAACATCATGTTAGTGATTACGTCTGATACGGCGAATGATTATTAAATGTTGGTAATTTATATGTCCTAATACGAAACTAATATGTAAACTCGACTAAAAATAATTGTCAAAAACGCACAGATGTCGAAGATGTCGCATAATATACACGCACATATTATACTTGTTATCCTGTAATTTCACTGCTCAATCTGCAACCTACAACTGAAACACAGCTTATAAAGCAAGTTTGGCTTTACTTGGCGGCTGAAATAGACGACTCTATCAAATTATATGTGTTGCAATAACTGCTAGTATTCTTTATTGTTACTCTCTTCTGTACATTTATTCTACATTTATTTTGGTTTTTATGTTACAGAAATAAATCTACATCATCTGAGAAGCTTGAATATCTTCCACAATTTCCTGTACATTTATTACAAACTACAAAGTGATACCAATGACGTTAGTAATAAATTGTATGACCATAAATTTAGTGTTTTTTTTGTCTGAGGGTAAATGAAAGGCGTACTGAAATATTAAATAGGTAATTTATTTTTCTATAAGTACTAAGAATATTTTTTTTTGTTTAACATTATGTAAACACAACCAATTTAGTTACAGTTGGAATCTATAACATAACATGCAATTAGCAACAAGTTTTACTGCATCCGCATCTCACAAATTGATATGAGATCAAAATCTAAAGGACTATAGCACCATTTCAGTTACATTCATAGGCCATAACTTTTGGTCTAATATTCTTTCCATACTAACTACAACGCTCATACTTTACTCAGGGTGAAAGCAAATAAATACTACATTTAATTAATTACTTGAAAATTTCTGCTGCTTATACATTATCTAGCTGTATTCTATGTCTTTTTGTTACTCCATAAAGTACAATTTTGTATAATTTATGTATGCATTATACATATAATAATATCCAACAATATCAAAGTATCCAAATGTTTTTCATATATATACACAATAAAATTTGTACCATTTTAATTTCCAACGAAATCATATTAATGTTTTTAACGTAAGCAATGTCTCATTCCTAAGCTACTAATAACTAAACCACATTGCCACTATGAAGGATATCTCTCCTACAGAATGGCAATGTGATTCTTAAAGAATATTTAAACAATAATAGGATTTTTGGATCATACTACAATTTTGATTAAATTTGGTGTTTTATTTACTTCAAGCTCAATGCACTAAGACTAGAGGAATATTTCGAATTTTATGAAATATATAAAAAAATTGCATTCTTTTATGATAAATAGTACATTTCGACTATTTTACTGAATTTCTAAGAAAAAATATTTGACAATAATTAAAAACTACATCTATTATTTTGAAATTTACAACTATACTTTATAATACAAGTATTTATTATTTTCTAAAATAAATAGGAAGAAATTAATATATTAAACTTTGACAAAAATGGAAAACATAGTTAATATAAAATTGGAGTCATATTTAAAACTGCTTTTCATACTATTATTCAACTTACCATATATATTTACGCATTTATATTATGTAATAATGTAATATGTAGGTACATAATTTACTCTGTAACTCTGTGGTAACACCTCATAAATTAACATAAATTCCCTGATTTAGGAACATGCTGAATATAGATACTTATTTATACCTACAAATAGATACCTTTATTCTTTAACTGAAATAGTAAACAAGTGACGATCTACTTAAAGAAGTGGTAATGATCGTCTAAATACATGAACAGAGCGTGGTAGATGTTCATACGTTGCTGTTCTTGAGGTCAAAGATGTCTTACCTCTGTAGTCTGTACTTTCACTGCTGTACTCTCACACGTCTCAAGCTGAATCAGCTTACAAAACAAACTGTTTGGTGGCAGAAATGAATGAGATTCTAGCAGACAACTTTGTACAGTTTATCTTGTAGAACGTCTTCAGATAATGTGAATCTGAAGCTAGGTATCAATTATATGTCAAACAACTTGAACAATGAAATATTCTAATCAGAAAAAACTATGATTCTCATAGAGAGCAGTTGCTTTCATTTTTTAAATAAATTATAATTATTTGAAATAAAGAATATATAAAAATACCATTAAATATAGTTCCATGTCATATTTTTTTTACTATCGATTAAAATCTAAAATGTCTAAAATACTTAAAAAATCCTAATTCAGAAAGTGATGTTCCTATGTACTGTATTCAGTACGTCTATAATATTAAATGACTAATACCATATAGAATGTACCTATATGAACTTGTTTTTATTTTGTGCTCAAATTTTTTTTTTATTATAACATGTCTAAATCCTAGCTTTTTGTTTTGTATAAAACATTAATATGGTTATAACTGTATACAGAAACTTAATGATCTTATTATGTTCTTCATTTCATACGATACTCAGCAATGAACGCATCGTATTCACCCTGAAGTACTTATACAGAAACACCTATACGCGAAAAGCGACAAAATAGTAAGTTCATTGAATTCCCGTTTATAGTTATAAAAATTGTTAAACATTATCGCAGACCATATTGTGCGTCCTTTGAATATTGTACTCTCTTTAGACACAATAGCCAACAACTTTTTATCTCCATATATACAAGTATAATTTAAAAGAAATTACGGTAACTATTGTCATATCAAAACACTACAATACAAACGTTATAATCTTTGACTATTAACTATAACAATTAGCAACATGCGGTATAAAATTTAATATAAATTAATTTGTACTTATAAACAATAAGATCATTCATATGCAGGTGTTTCGAACGGATGGCATCTAGTTATATTCAATTTTTCTATATTTATTATATAATTATGTACCTTTCTTGTACATCAATCGTACATACAAATAATTTTCCGTAACAATTATATTAATTAATATTGTATTAAACATTTATAATTATATATTAAGTGAAAAAATATTATGTAAGTTTATATTAGGATGCAAAATTGATTTTTTGAACCTATATTCTGAAATCCCGAATGTGCCTAAACATTATCAAATATTTTTACTATAGGTATGAAATGTTGTATACCGTAATTGCAATATTTTCTTTAACCTATTCTTACCCGTTTATTCATAAAATGTCAACGTTCCATAAACGTATTTAGGAATTTAATTGTTTATTTTTGTTACTTTGTCTTCTCTTAGGAAGAAAGACAATGTTTCTGATCTGTAGATGATGATGGTCTGTGGAAGATTTTAGTTATTATGGATAAGAGGATTAATTTACAGCTGCAACCAGAAACTTATGTACAGAGAACGAAGTAAGTTGTGTATCGACTAGTAAGAGTTTGGTAAGTAATAGCTATAATAATTATGTTCAAATTAAATTTTTAATTCTTTTATATAGCCATCAAGCTAAATATTTAATTGAAGGCATAAACTCTGGAATCCTTTACAATTCCACAGTTTCGTTTTTTCTATATTACATTATCTATTTTGTACTACAATAATAACTAACGTTAGCTAATAATTAAATTTTCCATATACGTAGGTAGTTACGTCTGCATTGGGGTGTGATACAAAATTATAAATACGAAGTACTTATTTATTTATACTATATTATTACGAAGCTCATTAGCTACGGTCGGTACTGGTTGCGTTTCTATTCTATCCGATTGAACTAAATTGAATAATTTTAGAATGATAAAACAATGTAAAGTTCGAGAGAGTAATGCACCAATATAAATATTCGCATTTGTAATTTTGGGATAAGCCCTCAGGTATAAGACGACATATAATACCTATAGGTATGTACAAACATATCCATTTTTTTACCGTCACCGCAGTGTGTACCGACTAAACTTTAAGCAGAAGACTTTCCGTGTCTTTTTGAAATAACGATTTTATTTTGCTCACTCTATACTACCTACTTTTTCCATAAATCTATATCTTATGGAAGCACTATTAAATTGTATATTATGCAGTACAAAATTAAAAACATATGTACAACATTTAATTTTGCCAATATGAAGTTAATTTAGCAATTACTCTACAATCAAATATCGCCTTTATAATACAAAGTTTAAACATTATAATTTGTAGTAACAGCAATTTCAAATATAATTGAAGATGTATCAATCTATTCTGATATAAATTAATTAAAGATGAATAAAAACAAAATAAAAAATATTAAAGTAGACACTTCTATAATATGTAAGTCGTTATGATTTTTCTTTAAAAATATAAGGGTATATGTTGCAGCTATGTGATTTTGATTCGATATATCTGCGAAGTGCAGTATCAGTGTCCTTAATCTAAAACCTAGACGTACAACAGCGTGCTATTAAAATATTAATAATTTAAATCTTTATTATACATATGAGTAAATGTTAACAACTAAACTATTGCCAGAAGCTCCCATAATCGATGTTTAATGTTTATACCTATACCAGTATCTAACACCGGTATGTGAAAATTCTCTAATGGCAAAACTCTGTATCACAAAATATACTTAGCTACGCGACAATAACAAAATTGACGTAAAGCGAACCCTTTCTCCACTCGCCAATGGATCGAAAGCCCATTTGTTAACGATCAGTCTTCTAGCCATTGATGAATTATTTCTCTTCCGTTATCGAGTTTCGATGACTATTGTTATTGTGTCTATGCGCGATGAACAGCGTAATGATGAAGCGTTCACATTTTGATAGGAAGCTCATCCGTGATTACTCGTCTCGTCCTCTTGTACTATTTCATAATAACTGTCTATTGTGTAATTGAAGAGCTGGAAGTCGTACCTAGAGCAGGAAGTAAGGATTAATAGGTATCAGAAAAACTAAAGCTTATCCATCATTTTTCGATTCAATCGATATTTTTATAGATATTAAATTAACTTATATTTACATAAAACATGCTCTTGTAACACTCTATATATTTTTGAAAACTGCAATCAAATCCGTTGCATAGTTTAAAACAGACAGTGGGAACGACTTTGTTTTATACAGATACATACACAACTTTATAATCATATTCAACTACAAAATTACGACAAATCTAATGTAATATGAACATAACATAAAATACCTTCACTACTGTTATCCTATACGGAGCAGTCAGAAGTATAGTCGTTAATCTTTCAACAAGTACCTACATCCAAAATTACGATAATTATAATGTAAAGGCAGAACTATCATCCTATGTTTTACAAGAAGTAACCCTGATATTCTTATGTAAACATGTCTATTATTGTTGAATGTTTGTTAAAATAATTATAATGTATGTACCTGTACAGTTTATAGAGGCCGTCAAGTTGAGATTTCTTCAGCCGCGAGTACAGATGGCTAATATTGTGTAATGTGTTAGCGCCTTTGCCGCTGTTACGCCATTCTGGCTTCACAACGTCTTGCAGACGAGCTAGCTGGATCAGGAATCTTTGGTCCTCCTGCAATATGTAATTAATAAAGATATAGACTAGGGACATTACCATTTCTGTGTAATGTACAGCACTATATAATTTTAAATTAAACGGAGCCACTTATTGAGCAACCTGAAATGTATTAAAAGTATAATAATAATCTGGAGTAATATATCTTTTGTTTTAAAAAATGCAGTAGTCATCGCCGGTAACAGCCAGTTTGGTACAAATATTAATATGTATATGGCAGTCTGTTTGTTACCTGTTACCTTTTCACTACTAAACGGCTGAAAGATTTTTATTGAAATTTCACGTGCAAATAGATAGGTACTTAATACATACTTAGATTGTATCCCGAAGACGGACATGCAGACGAAGTCGCAGATAAGAGTTAGTAAACTTTAGAACTGCACAGGCTAAATAAAAAACATACTTGTGTATACAAATGTTTGTGTTTTGGGGTATATATATATATAGGCATATAACCCACATAGGTTCGAAACCCCCCAAACATTGAACGGCGAGGTGTATTATATTAAACCTCAAGAGTTCGTCTAAAAAAATATTATTAGGAAAAGATAAATTAGTAGGAAATAAATTAACTGACATCGTCCATCATTCTTATTTATCTTACCCATACTTCTCTGGAACAGCTCTCACTCATTCCGAGAACCCACCACAAAACATTCTAAATATTTCCAAGGTAATTACCGTCATGTATTTTCTCACGGTCAATGAAAACAATGCTGATTTTTATAGGCCTGTTAATAGTAACAATACCCAAATACCATGTTTCCAGGGTTGCCAACCATTAAACACTTATCCTTATACGAATAAATAAAAAAACTGATAAAATCTCATATATTACCTCTCTAATTTGGCTCACTAACCTTGTACATCATAGTAAGTGTTTTATATATATATATATATATATATATATATATATATATATATATATATATATATATATATATATATATATATATATATATATATATATATATATATATATATATATATATGTATGTATATATATACACACACACCCACCAATACAAACAATCATACACATGTGAGGAATTGAACCTTTTCATCTTTATCTACTAATATGTAACATAATATAAAACTAGCTGTATTTAACTTTATTTTTCTAAAATAAAAGTAGCCTAAGTTACTCATTATTACATCAGCTACCTGCCAATAAAAGTCCTGTCAAATTCGATCCTGCCATTTCAGAGATTAGCCGGAACAAACAGACAGACAGACAGACAAAAATTGTAATAAAAGTTATTTTGGTAAAACGGTACATACCGTTTTTATATTCATATGTATGTAGTAAAAAACGGTTAATTAAATATTACAAACAGACACTCCAATTTTATTTATATGTATAGATATACATAGTTTGGCCATAAATACTGTTACAATTAAAAATAAACAAAACGTTACATTTGAATCAAGAGAACCTAACTGCTGTGGTTGCATTACAAAAAGTAAGTGTGAAGCTAAATAAAATTTTTGAAACTATCCATCTGCTTGCTCTATAAACGCCATGATAATTTAGAGTCTCTAAAGCAGTCCATAAGATTGGACGTGAAGAAATTTTCTAGGAAGGAAGGGAAGAGTGTGTGCTTCTATTTATAATTGTCCTCGAGGTTTAAAGGACTTATTGCAGCTAATGGAGATCATTTCGAAAAAGCTCTATCTATATAGTTTTAATGTTTAAATTTGTGTTACATTACAGTAATAAATGCTTAACGAAATGGAAAAAAATAAAGATTTTTCCAACAATATTTATGGCCAGACTAGGTATATATCTAATAGAATTGAGAAGAATTGGATTCTACGCAGGTATATATTTACAATTTATAGACCCATTTTGATACCTGAGCTTCATAGGTGTTAAAGTCTAATCATGTAGCGCTAAATCTTGTTCATAGGAGATTGCATACATTCCAATCGAGTTCTGTATGCCTATCTAAATAGGTATGGCGTCGTGCGTGAGTTACATAGTATGACATATACGCGTTTTATATATAATTTATATATGTATAATATATATTTAATGACATCTGTGATCAAGCGGTTTAGCACGCCGTCTTACTTCCGATGTTCGCCGATTGATTCCTCGCAGGACAGAAAAAATTGTATTCATGATTGTTTGTACTGGTCTGGATGTTTTATGTATATTATGTATGTATTAAAAATGTTTAAGTACCATAACAAAAGCTTTGCTTAGCTTGGGACTAGGTGGTGATGAGTGAATTGTCCTGCCTATTATTGTTATTATAACTATATACTAATTTACCAATACGATCGTCAGAATACTTCATAATAGTTGGCTATACATAGCTTGGTACATTGAAGGTATTTATTTGATTATTGTATAATTTTGCCAGTATTGATTGGAAACGAAAGTTGGCATATAGATTTGTTTGCGGTCTTTACATGACTAAATATGACTACTAAATCGGGCCTCGTAATTTTGTTTGCTATTTAAAAATATTATTCTTTTATTGTAATGTACGTACACTCTTGTCTTTATTAATTCATATTTTATTATTACTATACAGACAAGAAGAGTCAATTATAACACATTTTCCGTTATAAGACAAAAACTATATACCTACCATAAAAAAGAGAGTTTGTGACACATATAATAATAATAATAATAATAATCTTTATTAAATTCAGAAGGATCGTTACAATATTATTTATACAATAGGTACACATTCCAGACAATATCAATCCTTTCAGTATTTATGTGTAGTCCTGGCTTCTGAACTAGCATTAGCCGTATGACAGAAGCCAGTTCCTTCCCAATACATGTACTTTTATTATAGAAGGATGAAAATTATTAGAACATGATATATATAAACAATATTTTATCAATAGATACATATTTAAAAATCTAAATTATAAGAAAAACAAAGGTGTTGAAATAAACATATACTATATTGTGTGTGTCTTATGTACAAGTATGATGTAAGTGTGTTTATATGTATGTATGATGGATATGTAGGTGAGCGTGCATGTACGCATTTGATGCGTGTGTTTAAGTTAAAAAAAAAAAAAAATATATATATATATATGTATGTATGTATGTATCTATGAAACCGTTACATAATTCATTTGATACCCCACTATACTACTATACTGTCACTATAATGTAAGTTTTGATTAGGAACCCTAAACAAGGCAAGAGTATAAAATAATATTTTTACATATGACAATGTTCATTTAAAGCAATTCGTATTCATAGTAAGTTCGTACATCCTATTAATGGTCAGTGTGACATCATTCTCTTTAACTAGAAATTGTCCAACTACTACTATACTAATATTATTTGTTATGTTTAATATGTAATGTGGATAAATAAAACTGGTTGTTAACGGTGTTAGTGATACTTTAAGATACATATACACTATATTATTGATTACGATTATTATTAATTAACATTGTATGCACTGTTTCCTGACACAAATAAAAAAAATATATATAAACGCGAAAAATAAGAATGTATGTATGGATTTTACTTACACGCAAAAACTACAAAATCGATTTAAGGGAAACTGGTACCTAGATAGATAGTGCGGCTACGACTTAGGCACTTGGCTTTACTTCTGATGATCGCGAGTTCGAGTCTTCACACGAAGCAAACATTTGTATTTATGAGTATCATTATTTATATAATTATGGATGTAATATTAATATTATAATTAATATTTCTATCAGTTGTCTAGTAGTTGTACAACTAACAACAAAACACAAGATCTGCCGTAGCTTGAGAATTGTCAATTGTCCAGGGAGAGGTCCACCGCTTGTGATATAATATAACACTTTGTTGGCCCCTTTGAATGAAGAACTGAATAACCTGACGCTAGCATATATAGTTAGCGCAAATGGGTTCATAATTTCATTGTAATCACAGATAATATAATATTACATATTGTAATCCATTATTAAAAAAATATGTATAGGTATTAGGTACTCACGTCCAATGTCTCGAATTTTATAATAACGTCGAAGTTAAACTTGCAAGGTGTACAGAAATCTGTGTACGGTGTCCAATGCATATCTAGTGCCCGCTTGGCTTTCCTCTCGTCCAAAACGTATGCAACAAACTCTTCAAATACCGGATATCTTTCTGTCGGCACCGGTTGTACATTTGCCAATAGCTGTAATAAAATAATAATGAATAAATTGTACTAGACAGATACTACATACAAACGCTATATAGCGTATTAGTTTAAGAAAAACTTTTAGCATTTGACAACAGATAAGCCTCCTACTAAAAGTATAAGTATGTTGTTCACTATCCTTTATTTTATGCACTGTTATATAATAAAATGGCCAAGTTCGTGCAGAGTGAGTCTGTAGGTTTTGAGAGCGAAAGATAACACGGAAATCGGAAGTTAACGCATTCACGTATGCTCTACTGTATGTACAGCGATCCCTATTTTCCGTACATTCCTCGTATGTTTTGTTACTCCGCAGTTACTCTATAAATTGATTAACTATTATGAAATATACTAGGATATATATTAGTCTTGCGTATCTGCTTTAGAATAATACGCTATGTCCTAAGGAGATAAAGGCTGCCTTTAAAACAATATATTACAATTCTTTACCCTACAAAAATGAGTGGCAAACTCCAAGCAGGGCGAGTACAATAGATCTTCAAAGGTCGCAGTGCTACACATTCTTAATGCCTTACTGTAACCCATGATAAGACCTATGATCCAAATATCGAAATGACAAAAATAAGAAAAATCTATCTCACCTTCCTATATTTTTTTATTATTCTCTGCCCCATTTTGTCGTGAAAAGACTTGGGCCACGCATGAACAATTTTATCGTTGTATGCAGAAGCTAATCTCTCTAGGGGATGTCTGACAATAAGGAATGATATTGAATCTTGTTGGGCTTTCTTTATCATTTCCACCGTTGGCCTGGCATATTTCCTTCTAGCAAGCTCTAGAGGCACTTCTTTCGTTTTATCGAGGAAGGCAGCCGTGTAATTTGCCATCAAATTGAAGTTGTACATCCATGATGTTGAAGCTGCTTTGAAGATGTTGCACCTGAAACAACATAATAAATGATAGCAGTAGACATAAGGGAGGTTATGTTTACACAAGTGATTATTTATAATTGTAGGATTTGGAATTCATGTGGAGTAATTTGTAACCTAAAAAGGTTAGTCGGACTTATACCAGTACTTTAAAAAAATCAGGTACTGGTATAATTTCGATAAGAGATATTTACTGATTAACCTAACACACGTTTTAACTCCTCATTAAAAAAAACTACAGGTTTTGTAGGTACCTAGTTAGGTCACGTAGTAGATTTATAGTACGTTAATTACGTTACGGTAGTTACGTTTAAAGTCACCATTGATAGCTTTTGAATTTTATTTCAATTAAAAAAAAAGACACGTTTTAAATATAGTAATACTAATATTTAAAAGAATAATATTATTTCTGAGTTATATTTAGACGCTGTTATCAGTCTACACGTCGACCCGTAAACGGGAGCTTTGTAACAAATCGAAATATGAGGAGCTCATAAATAAATAATATTGTCAAGGACGAAACAGCTTTAAAATAGTATTAGTAGACTTTTTTTTTTGTAAATCCGGCGTCTACATAAACATAATTTCAATGAGAAACAAATTACTATTATAATTTATCGGTTTGACATTTTTTGGCAGACCCACAGCAGATTTAGAACTGACTGCGTATACGATATCTAATCTAATATGATAATGTCATGTCAGTAGAGACAGAAATATTTGTTGGTTTTTGGTGCTTTTATCCTTAATATTAATTTAGAGGCATTCTGGTAAAACTATCCATCATCCTAGAATTCATGTCCGTGTAGATATTTTATTTTATTAGTAGGTATATTCTGATAGGTAGGTAGATACATTTCTAATAGATTATAAGAACATAGGGGAAAGAATAGATAAGAGTTTATGTACAAAGAAGGTAGGTCTTATTTAAAGAACAAAAATTAAAATAAACAAAAACTGAGCCAACTAGAATTGGGTTATATTGGCTAACTGCATCTTTGTATCTAGTATAGTTAATCTAAATTTCCAAATCAAAACATACGTGAATGGACGTATAAGGAGAGGACAACAAAAAAAAATATGGATGTGTTATGCATTATATAGAAAAGGAGAGTAATTTGAGATATAACGGCAGATAGTGATCGCTGGTAGAAGATAACATACCATGTGTCGACCCCAAATAATGGGAGGAAACCAGAGCAATGAAGTAATTACCTATATAACTGATTTTATTGCTAACATTTGTACGTCAATATAATGCATTTCATAGTGGTCATGACAGTACTGAAAGGACAGTGAGGAGTACATCCTATGCTATAATATATATAAATAAATAAAATCGTGATGTAAATATTTGTCGTAAACTATATATAGCAAGTGACTCATGAAACTAAAAAAATAATCTCCAAGAAGTTAAATGGATAATTGAAAATAATCTTAAAACCGTCATAGAAACTACACGGTCATGTCTATTTAGTATGATCAAAATATCTTTTCAGATTTTTACTTTGTTTGTTAATTAAAGTAATTACTTTCACTAAAAATAAAGTGCAAATACACTGAATCATATACCTATGATATAGATCATTATATTATCACCCACGCACCATCGATCCTATACGACTAAGTATATGTATAACAATGAGAAAGTATAAAAATAACTGTGTCCCCAGTATCGACTAGGTATACTGCCGATTATCATCAACATTAACTTATACATTAAAATATTTATGACCGTAGTTATTAAAAACATCTATCTATTGTATTTTCATATGTAATTAGGCTTTTGGATGTGTTTTTATATTTTTATTATCATCAATCATAATTTCTATGGCCTGTAAGTAATTACCTACTTGACAATAGCATATAATCGCTACCATCAGGGTTGGACATCAATGTAATTACTCCATATAGCACGCTATATAAAGGCTAGTATGTACTGAAATTTTTTTACAAGTAATAATGTAGGTGTGCCCGTCTGCGCTAATGGTTTACACTGTCGGGGTACCAGTGAAGAATGATAGATTGGGCATATAGTAAGGTCAGTTAAACCACCCCGAATACACCTGGAAACAACGGTGGTTTCCAGGGGGAACCACCCGCGTCTGAATAACGCCTGACAACAACCCCCCGGAGGGTAACCCCCTGACAGTAAATATACTAATAAATATTGGATTCGTTAGCATTTATATTACATTAGGTACGTTAGACTGATCGGAGAAGCATTTTAATAATATATTATAGTGTTATTTATAGAGAATAGAGGTAACTTACATTAGGTAATTAATTACACAAATGTTTCTATATTTGGTATGCTACGCGTCTGTGAGAAAATGTTACACTGGTACATTTATACCTACATTTTTCTTGGAATTTGCGTGGAGAATGCCTACATCTCGAGAAAAGTTATATTAGGGTCTAATGTTTTTAAGGTAACTATTTTAGGGTCGTAGAAAGCAAAGGTGATCCACTCGCAACTAATAGATTAGATATCGTCACATGACCCTAATGGATCAACTATGTAATGTAAGTGAATAAAGTTAACCTTGAACTCTAAGAATCTAGGTTATCACTGAGAATTCCATATTAATAACTACGTTTTGTATTTTATCATCATTATTGTCACCTATTGGCAATAATAATTGAAAAAATTATCATAAATATTATTAAGTATATACCAATAGGATATGTAGTATCATATGGGGAAGAACATAGATAAATTTTCATGCCAGTCACACGGCCAAAGTTGCAGACTAGTAGTAGTTAGCTTGATTATTTTGAATAGTTAAAATTGTTGTACCGAAGCTGACTTCTTAAATGCGCGTAATAACAGAACAGGATAATGGGTTGAGCGTAAAGTGAGGTCGGTAACTTCATCGTAGCGAATTTATCAAGAAATACCCCCAATAGTTTCTTTCTTTTCTTGCTTCGAGAAAAGTCCTCATGAAGACTTTCATGAGGACTTTTCTACAAACAAAAAAGGGTTAATTACTAAAGTAATAGACATTTCTGAGCTAAACATTACATTACACGCGAATGCTTCCTGTGTATACTCGTCTTAAGTTTAAAACGCCGCTATCAATGTTCATCTATTGCGTGTTTAGATAACATCACTTCTCATTAAGTTAGAATCGGATGGTACATTACAATGTAAAGATTTTTAATATTATTCCCGTTAATTATAGTTTTATTATTGCAGGCAATCATCGTTCATTTATTGTTATACCTAATAAAAAATTTACAACTTCGATGGTCTTAGCGGTTTAGCACATTGCTTTATTTCGCGGTCGCGAGTTCAATCCCTCGCACGGTGTAAACATTTGTATTCCTGAGTATGATTGTTTGTGTCATACACAAACAAAAAATATATTTATATCTGTTATCTAGTAGGTACCCAAATGGCCCTTAAAGAATTAGTAATGTGTGGCAAAGTTTCATGATTACCAGAATTTATATCTGATAGGTTTACTAACGTCAATCCTGATAAGTATTTACATTATAGCTGATGTATATTCGTCTTTAGGATATTCCAAATGGCTGTTAAATACGCAACCTTGATCATCTGATTGAGCTCACATTTTTTGCGCACCATTCGACAACAAAAGCGTAAGTACATAATAAACTACTAGAGGTTTACAATCAAATAAATAGCGCACTGATACGTAGGTACAGCTTATATCTATCGAGTGAAATAGATATCTTATATATTATTACTTGACAGTATACAATAATTAGTTTTTATTGTTACGTGGTATCTAAATAATCTCATATATTTTAAACCTCATACAATAATTGTTGTAAAGGTTGATTTATAATACCTATTAAAATTCATACAATTTTATATGTTAAATAGAATCTCTCTATTATTTTAGAGTACCTAAATCCAAAATGGTTTTTTTTTATCTACATGCGATGCTAGCTTTTTGTTTTCCATATTGATTACTCAATATCTGACGATAAAGGGTAATGGACCGTAGAAACAGAAATACTCATAAACATTCTACTAACAGTCATCTCTTGAAATTGTAGAGACTAATAACTGCAGTGAGATGTTACGATAAAGTGTGTGAGATTACAGGATATAGAGACATAATATCTTTTTCCACCGGAATGGTATTGCTATTCAAGTAATCCTGATTGTGGTTTACCTTCAGGTGGGCCGTAAGATTGTTTGCTATTCCAGCAAAATCCATACTATTATTACAAATGCTAAAATATATCGTTCTGTTTATTACCGTTTCACGACTAAACGACTGAATGAAATTTGATACGAAGAATTGTATCATGAGAAATGCATCTTATTCTATGAGCTCTCATAATAGTCGTGGTATTTGTGTTGTAGAGTAAGAGGCTGATGTCATCTGTCATACGAAAGAAATAGGTAGGACATAGGCAATTTTTAGATATTAAAAAATATCTAAAAGAGATGGAAATAAGGGATAAGAATGAATATAGTTAGATTTTAATATATTTCAGAGTATCTTTTATCTTACCATATCACATGGTATTGTCTGTTGATAAGATATTCCCAGGCGTATGCTTTATGGCTTGAGCTATCCAGTCTGAGTCTAGAACACTCGCTCCTGAGGAACTCACGTCTGGCATCCATTCTGGAGTTGACCTCCATGAACTTGTCCCTTGTAAGCAGTCCCTCGTCATGTGTACCATTCTCGTATAAATACTGAAACAAATTGCAATATTTCTTTTAATAAAACTAAAACCAGTGGAAAGGTATAATAATGGGAATCACAAAGAAAGTTCAACTGAAAAAAAACATTAATTGCATTTTATCTATGATATACTCTCTGTGGTATATATACCCTGTAAACCTAACCTTGCATAGAACTAATGTTTTTTAGTAATGCCTAATGTTACAATTATCTTATTTTTGAGCTAGTGATCTTGTCTATTTGTGGGGTGCTCAGAAGTTATATAAAGGTAAGTTGGTAAGTACACCTACTCACTGATTGTAATAGCATGTTGTATTCTTTAGAGAATACACCTTGATATTAAAACCAATTATCTTTTTTTATTGCCCCTATATATGTAAGTTTTATGTTCCTGTTACCTGTTACTTTACATTTTAAATCATATAACCATATAGCGTTATATGATTTAAAACGTTCAGAATTAGCCGTCTAACTTATCAGATAAGGTCATCAAAATGTTTGGCAAAATATTTTAGATATCTTTTTATTTATTAAATCAGGTCTATTCAAACTCGATATTGATATTTAATAATATAGGAATGTAAAGACGAGGCTGGAATGAGGCAACACGTCTATAATGTCATAAAAGGGCAAATAGGTACTATCGATTAAATGTCAGGTGTTTACCAAATCGACTCAGCCTGCAAAACAGTCTTAGGTTAATATATAATAAATCACTTCATACTGTAGATCATTCTTTAGAGCATAGATATCAGGTTTGGAATATCTCCTGCTAACATTTAACACTAATTATAATTTAAGTTATAGATAATTATCTATAACTTAAAATATAAGATAACTTAAATAATTTAATTAATATAAACACTCACACACACATACTCACTCACGCCCAGGTAATATTTTAAACTATTTTGACACATATAAAAATATTATAGTATCATGGTAAATATCTGGATTATATTATGTGTACAATTATTTGTGATTGATATGTAACCTAATGATTGACATGTATATAGAGAGAGAGACTTAATTTTTGAGATATGTCATGGTATCTCAATAAATTAACGGTTACATATCAATCACAAATAATTGTACACATAATATAATCCAGATATTTACCACACAGTATAGTATACAGTTTATGCTATGAACTGTCAAGTAGATAATTACTAATTAGGCAATGCACCATATATTACACGTTTACCTATGGCAAGTTAGTGGTTAAGAATAAACTAATATTTTAAATGTAAAAGTGAATTTGTCTGTTACCCTGTCATGCGTAAGTAATCCTTCATATGAACTAAGTAAAGAACAAGAGCGAAACTACGGGCAAAAATAGAAGTAAAAATATTGTCTCTTTTCTTTATTATTATTAATAATTTAAAAACGCCCATAAAAATAAAAACGGTTCAATTAAATTTATAACGAAACGTTTTGCCTACACAAAAAAATCAACTCACATTATTGACTCATTATAAACGGTTACTTAAATCTGTTTGTTACGTCGTACAGTTATCACTTTTATTCTCTCGGAATAAATAAGGAACTACTTTGACTAAATTTCCCCGGAACTTTAAATTATACAAACATATAATAATAGAAAAAGCCACATAGAAATTTTTTATAGTGCAACGCGAAATTGGTATATTCTGACGAAATAATGATGTGATGAGATCAGTGAAGCCATGATGGTGAATTCACTAGGAATTCATCACAACATTTTTTAGGAAGGACCGCGCGGAAATCGACTCGATAAGATTGCTAATACCTGTGCCACCAGTCCCTATTGCTAATGATCCCCAACCATACCCACTTGTACGTTATTTAAAAAAAATTGTAGAACCTATACATGTAATATATTCCTGCCACGTATTACATCTTCCAAGTAGTTACTTGTCTACGGTGTACTTTCACTCACTTTCCAAGTAGCACAGACATGCATCGTAAAATAGCAATTACCTAGAATTTTCTCAGTTTATGGTTTTTACATGTCGAGCTATCTCTTCATTCTGTCGACCTAGGAGATGTTATATATATGTAATAGAATAATTGTTATTATAAGTGTATAGTTCCTACCTGCTACTTATCAACTTAGATATTGAATGGGTATTGGAATATAAATATTTGTAAGAAAAATCGAAACAATATTTGACATCAAGTGCCAGTTATAATCATAGTTTAAATTATTTTATTGTAGTTTATTTTTAATCCAACAAAATCGTTTGTTTTTTTCTATAAATTCCGTTTGTAAAAATCAGTGAACTGTTGAATTACTATATATATATGATACCTATATACGATAATTGTATTTCACTAACAAATAGTATTAATTAACAGTTATATATAGCCATGATAAAAGTTTAAATCAGTGTTAAATTACTTGCAGGTTCCAATACTCGAAATACTTAATCTTTTTTTTCTGAGTTATATAAGTTAGATTTAGCTTAAATATTAATATTTTTTTATTGAATCTCTGTACAAGTTGACAAATTCCAACAAGTACTTTACTAAGGCATTTACTAAGGCATCTGTATATATTCCACTCAGTGTCAATGGAATGTGATTTACCTTTATAAAGAGAGCAAAAAGTTACCGGCTGGAGTTCGCGCGGTCACTAACGGTATGAAGTTCCAACACCGCAGTAAACCACTTCCGGATTATTGCACTGGACTATCCACAGACTAAATATGTATCATACCATAAAATTTACATATTATGTCACTAGACTATATAAAACTGTTTATGTATATTAAATGTTTTATCAAGAACGTTTTTCATTCTATACCTACAGGTATAGACATAAATAGAACATGTAAGAATAATTTAAAATCCTAAATAAAAAAAATAATTAAATGAAAAATATAAACAGACATCAAACAGAGGCTGTATGGATACAGTCTTCTTTGCCTTTCCTAATGGATAAACTGAATAGAAATAAACTAGTTTTTTTATTTATTTATTTTCACATACATATTACCAGTATTTATACAAGTTGGATATTTTTAACAATACAACCCTTGTTACTTGCTGATAATTTAGCTTTCTTTATGCGAAAGATTTTTTAAAATATTCTTTGATAGAAGTATATATTGACGGTGCAGAAAAATAACAAATTTTTCCTCTATTTACTACGAAAAGTTTAGATAAAGTCACGATGCGATGTGATGCAGTGAAAGCAAATAATTTGCATCTTTATATAACTATCATAACCCGTATTATTGCATCGTGAATAACTGTGATAATTTGAACGCAAGGTCTTGTGGTTTAAATACATTTATTTCCATAAATTATAGCTTCCCGTCCTTACTTGCGTATCATATAGACATCAACTTGCAGGTCCATTGCGTTCCTGCCACGTGTCTCACACATTACTTCGTCTTGTTTATGATAGACTTAGCGTGAGAGCGTCATAGCCTAGTGGTTTACTACCTTGAATTTTGCCCGAGATTTCGTGAATTCAAATCTGGCCGAGACAAATAAAACACTGTGTTAATTTATTTATCCTTCTGAAAGACTCTCCAGTGAAAAGAACACATGATATTTTATTGAACTGATATTAAACCAATAAATAATCCTGGAGACAGTGGTAGGGCTTCCTCAGATATTGTATTCAAATATGCCGACCGAAATGTGGACATGTCAAGAGTTTCATTCACCACACCATCGACAGTTATGCTGTAAAACATATTCAAAATCATATTTTTTCAAGTCATTAATTACAATTAAATCTTTCTGAAACACGGAATTATTAAATCCAGTATAACAGCAATTTTTAAATCGAAAACTATATTTTGTATTTTTTTTCATTGACTGTGACGCAGAAACGATACACTTAGATACATCTAGATAAGATAGATTATTTTATTACTCTGTCAAGTACCTATTAATGTAAATATAATAAATCGGTGTTGCGGATAATCCGGTGTTATAGATAATATCAGTAATATTTAATGATCCTATTATAATATTTATTTAATCTATACTTCTTCATTGCGACCTACCAGCACTCCGTTCACTTCTATATTAATACTAGAGGGTGCGTGTGTGCGCGGGCCTCAAGAGGCCCGCGAGGCGTTGTCGTTGATTTTTTTTGTGAAGACGGTTTTCTTTTCGAATAGACTTGGTTGGAAAGTAGAGTTGTCTGTTTTGATACGATTAGGTGACTTCCTATTGTAACAGTGAATTTCTGTTTCACGTGTACCATATATACCTGTGGCGAAACTTTGTATTGTAATGGTCACAATACAAAACCTAACCTAACCTACCTTTCTGTATACTATATTAGTCTGGGGTCAAAGTTTTTAATGTAGAGACCATAATACGAAACCTAACCTAACCTACCTTTTTGTTTACTATATTATTCTGAGGGCATAATTTCTACTGTAAGAGTCGCAATACAAAACCTAACCTAACCTACCTTTCTGTATACTATATTAGTCTGGGGTCAAAGTTTTTAATGTAGAGACCATAATACGAAACCTAACCTAACCTACCTTTTTGTTTACTATATTATTCTGAGGGCATAATTTCTACTGTAAGAGTCGCAATACAAAACCTAACCTAACCTACCTTTCTGTATACTATATTAGTCTGGGGTCAAAGTTTTTAATGTAGAGACCATAATACGAAACCTAACCTAACCTACCTTTTTGTTTACTATATTATTCTGAGGGCATAATTTCTACTGTAAGAGTCGCAATACAAAACCTAACCTAACCTACCTTTCTGTATACTATATTAGTCTGGGGTCAAAGTGTTTAATGTAGAGATCATAATACGAAACCTAACCTAACCTACCTTTTTGTTTACTATATTATTCTGAGGGCATAATTTCTACTGTAAGAGTCGCAATACAAAACCTAACCTAACCTACCTTTCTGTATACTATATTAGTTTGGGGTCAAAGTTTTTAATGTAGAGATCATAATACGAAACCTAACCTAACCTACTTTTTTGTTTACTATATTATTCTGAGGGCATAATTTCTACTGTAAGAGTCGCAATACAAAAT